TCTGGTGCGGAGAATACAGGAAGGTTCGCACGAATAGGAAAGGCCACGTGGTTAAAAAACTTCCCTGAGGCAGATGAAACCTGCATCAAGGCCCTAGAAATGCTTTCTGACAGACGACCAAGTGACAGAATTGGCGAGGTTGGTATGCGCTGCCTACAGTCCAAGAGAAATCTCCATCAAAAGCATTCCAGAACTTCGGTGGCATCTCTTCTGCAAGTTCATGGCGGAAAGTGAAAAACTACCTCCTACTCTCGGTGCATTCAAACAGCATATTCTTAGAGTCCATGTACAAGTTCAGGTATGGGGTCAAGCAAGTACTGCCCGACAAGTTCCTTTGGATCCATTGCAGAATGGCTACTACAAAGACGACGATGGGCAACTTAAGCCGACCACAAGTAATGTCCCACCAGCACCAAAGGCGATCATAGAGATGGTTAGGTGTCACTGCTAAAGTGACTGTTCGACACAAAGATGTTCCTGCAGGTCGCGGAATTTGCCGTGCACTGACTTCAGCCTCTGCAGCACACAGTGTGAAAATGACCCAGACTTGCTTGAGAACCACGATTCAGACGACAGTGATGACTGACTTCGATAAGATGTTTTAAACAGTCAAAGTGACATTTGTAAATGTTTCATAGTTGTCATTAATAGATAACTGGGCTCTGGTTACCATAAACAGAGAAAGAAACTTAACTTTTTTTGTGCGATATACTTTATTAAAGAAACGTGTGTGGGTGAATGGCATGAAATTGTGTATAATTTTTCCAAAATATGTAAATGTCCCTTCTTTTTGGTTTTTGACGGTTTTAATTAGTTCGATCGTATTCCTTGCCCTTTGATATTTATATTACATATCAAAAATCAACAGTCTAGTTACTTAGAAGCTGATATAGTGTGAATATAAACCTTTAAATGGCAGCCATTTTGAAATTCCAAGATGGCGGCTTAGATGACCTTTGAAAAAAATGGAAACATTGGTTTTTGGATTGAGCACATCATACGGATTCCAAAAATGTATAGCTTTGCTAATCCCCCCCCCAAAAAAAACCACGAAAATACACAGTGAACCGGACTATTCAGAAATGACTTCTGAAGAACAGAGTAACACTAGCTGAATGGAGCACAGCTTTGACCTGAACTGAGGTGGCATATTTTCAAGGGTAAAGTAAAAAGCAGAAAACTTCAGTTGCTTTACTCTATTGTCAATGGGATTTGCAACCGTAAATCGTCATTATACAACTGAATCTGAATTGTCAAAATAAGCTGAGAGACAAGGGTGTGTCCTTTGTACATCGAACCATCACAGAAATCTTTGATAATTTCATTATTCTGGTGTCTTTGAACAAGCTGGGCAAAAACATCATCGTTTTTCAAGAGGGCCTGTAAAGTCCGCAAAACACTGACATATTGAAAACTTGTAATTTTGCCATTTCCATTTCTTCCCATCACATACTCAACAGGTTCCACAAAATGAAACTTGTCTTTGACATAAGAATTAAGGTGGGAAGTTTTGCCAAAAAAAACTGATTGCTCCATTTGTGAATATGTGAAAATTTCTGCTAAATCTTCTTTCTGTGCTTGAGGCATTTGAATCCTTGCTTTTTTGTGAAGTTCTTCTATTGCTAATCCAAGTAAACCATTCACCTCTTCAGCAAGAAAAACTGCATGCCTGATCATTGACTTTGAACTTTTCCCTTAACCCTAAATCGAATGTTGTCGATTTGTAATCAGTGTCAAGAGGAACTTCAGGCTCATTTGCCACATCTACATCTTCATGTTCGTCATCATCAGATGATCTATCTGATCCAGACTGCAGGTGTTCTTCTTTGTGATCATCCTCGATGTCAATGTCATCTTGTAGTCTACCATACCTTTCCCAAAATGTAGAGTGCATTTGTTTCACATGATTTTGAAAAGATCTCATATTCTTGAGCACTCTTTGGCACCCTTCCACACTACAAGTTATAACTGACAGTGGCCCACTGTGCAAGTACCTGCAATGATTTAATAATCTGAGGAAGTTCATGGATTCATATGCACACCTGCAGCAATGAAAGTTCACCATATTTCAATCTAATTGTACCATATGTATGTATGTATGGTACTTTAATGCTTTTCAAGTTTTTTTACTGAGAATGACCACCAAAAGAAGTAAAGAAAAGTGTATCAATGTTTGACGAGCATGGCTTTTGATCCTTCGAACAGATTATTTGTTCAAAGACTACCGTAAATGACACAAATAAACTGCCACGTTGGAATGAAACAGAGAGGTGGTACAGATATATGGGAGGACAAAATGAAAGGGAGATGGCTGAGAAAGCAGTAAAGAGGACAACAATGATTTTTTTTAAAGTGTTGACAGTTTCTGAAAAGTAACAATTATCTTGTAGAATTGTGTAAACGTTTCAACGTCTGATCATGAATAAACTAACACAATTGTCTAAATGAACCAAGTTGGACCGATGAGAATAAGCCCAGGTTATGATGACAGCTCGGCATGTGTACTGGATGTTTGAAAGAAAAAAAGGAAATGTTCAAAGTTTTGCTTGAGTAACTCCAGCTGACATGCTTATATTCATTCACAAGAATAACCTGTTCGTTAGAATGTGGTAGCAAGAAACCCTAAAAAAAACAGCCTCTCAAAAATAGTTAATTTTCACCTCTAATATCCCAACCCACAGTTCATGTACATACCTCATACATTCAGCAGTCATTTACGAATCCTAATGATCGACTTGAAACAGACCACAAAAAAAGTGAACAATCTTGACGATTTTGGTGGCTTGTCCGTAAAAAAAACGCCAGTTCCAACCGCTGTCGTCCATTTTAATTTGATAATTATGTAAATGTATGCATCAAGTGATGAAATCGAAAAAAATCTGCGCGCGCGATGTATGTGGGTACCACACCGCTTTCAGGCGCCGCAAGTGTTGCTTTCCGCGACAACGCACCAGACGAAATTGAACTCACTTGCGGCGCCTGAAAGCAGTGTGGTACCCACATACATCGCGCGCACATTTTTTTTTCGATGTTATCATCACGTGATGCATACATTTACATAATTAGCTAATTAAAATGGACGACAGCCGTTGGAACTGGCGTTTTTTTACGGATAAGCCACCGAAATCGTCAAGATTTTTCACATTTTTTTTTGCGGTCTGTTTCAAGTCGATCATTAGGCTTCGTGAATGACTGCTGAGTGTATGAGGCATGTAAATGAACTCTGGGATGGGATATTAGAGCCGAGAATGAACAATTTTTGAGAGGCCATTTTTTTAGGGTCTCTTGCTACCACATTCTAACGAACAGGTTATTCCTCCAGCGCTACATGTGAATGAATATGAGCATGTCAGCTGGAGTTACTCAAGCTATTCAAAATTAATAATTTAAATTGTTGTTGATAAAAAGTTTTACTGACAAAAAAGTAAATTAATCTTTTAGTTGTTACGAATAAAACATGGACCTTGGATTATGTTAACATTGATACAAAATGGAAAGATTCTCATTATATCTGGCCTAGTTCAGTGACCCATCAGCAATCGTGCAAAGTCAAATTTAGCTAAGAAAATATGGAAGTACTTACTGACAAAACACAAATGTTCAGAGACTGGTCTCTCAATACAGTATGTGTGTGTGCTCATGGTGACAAGTGATGATATGGCCAGTTATATTGGAATCATTCCAAAAATTTAACTGTCACCATCCTACCTACCATGCCTTCGTAGCTTGATTAAATAAAGTTCCAGGGTTTTTTAAGGCTCCAGCGGCCATGTCAAAAAGCTGGACATTTCCGGCTATAAATTAGTCACTAACTAGGCCTATCTATTTGTACCCGAATATTGTCCCTTTTCATTCAGATTTGGGATCCAGCCATGATAGCAGATTAATTGAAACATTGATAGATGTAAATGTACATGTTTTAGTATCTGTAGTGTGGACATCGACACATGTGACCGCAAAACAAGCACAATCAGTCATCATGCATGCGTGTCATGTATATGCACGGTACGCAACCTCGTACCCAGGGTGTCGAACAGTACGCGCCCATCACTACCTGCTCTCTCACCCTGGTATTGGATCATTTGCATGTGCAAGATTTTTGCACACGTATGTAAATTAGTCTCCCTGTGGGCGATGTATTCTGGGCGCACGTAATAGTCTGGTTCCAAATTGAACTTCGCATCTTCGTCGCATTCATAACGTAGTCTGTGTGGTCTGGAACTAGATTTAATAACTTGATTGGAAAATACATGCAATACAAGGCCGGCCATGTAGTCTTCGGTGTGCAAATCAATCGTTGCCGATTGCTGATGTTGAAAACAAAGGTAAAAAGAGGCGAATCTATATTTATATCGACAACTTGTGAACAGAAAATTAACCAGACATCGTCACTTCAGTACTGCACCTCACATCTCCTCTTGTTTACTTATTTAATATTACGTGGTAGTGTACTGGACACTCTATTAGTAAAAATAGTACATGACATATTACATGTATTAATTAAGAGTGTAACTCAGACAATGTCACTGTCAGACGTGCAGACATAGACAGTTCAGGTTGCTAAAATTATTTAGATTAGGCATTTTTGGGGGGCTACTACTACTAAACTACTGTACAAGTACAAGTAATATCTACATTTGATGGCTCTCTCCTCGATCAGTTGCATGGAGTTGCCGGCATCTGCAATGTCATCCTGGCAAATGAACAGCTTTTGGCCCTCGGTGCAATATGCAGTAAATCAGTTACAGCTCAGTGTTAATCTCAAACCTGCACAGTGTCGGGCATTATGGGAACTGTTCAATGGACATGATGTGTTTGTCATTCTTCCCACAGGCTATGGCAAAAGCCTTATTTATCAGCTAGCTGTTTATATGCTTGGACATAAACTAAACATAAAAAATCCAAAACTTCTGGTAGTCACTCCTCTGAATGCAATAGTTCAAGATCAAGCCTCAAAACTTTCTAGCATTGGGGTCCAAGTTGGTATTCTTCGTGGTCATATGACTGGGTCTTGTCCTGATCATCAAAGTGATGAAGAAGAAGAAGAAGAGACGAACCGCATTTCATCTACAGATGTTTGTATTGCTGGGAGCACCGAGGAGCAACTACGCAAAGCAAATATTGTCTATGCCCATCCTGAAGCAGTTGTGTCATCTCGTCCCTATTTACTGTCTGATGCAATCCAAAATACCGTGGTTGCTACGGTGGTAGATGAAGCACATTGCATAGTAGAATGGGGTCTGGATTTTAGACAGGACTTTGCAAAGTTAGCCATTTTAGCTAGCCTATTTCCACATACTCCAACAGCTGCAATGACGGCAACCGCTCCCCAAGATTACAGAGAAGCCATAATTAAATCACTTTGCTTGAAGAAGCCAGTAATTATTAGCAGGAACCCCGACAGAGAAAACATCATGTATGCCGTAAAGAGTCGATTGCCCTCTACCCATGGTGTTCAAAGTTACCACGACATACTCTATCCAATAGCCATCAAGTTGCTTGAAGAACGCATCTGTTATCCATCCACTATCATTTACATGAAACTAAAGTACTGCGGCTATGCACACAGGCTATTTGAAAATGTACTTGGAGTTCATCAGTACTATCCAGAAACATGTGCTGGTCCAGATCACAGATTGTTCGGTCAGTATCATGCGCCCCAAACTGAAGAAATGAAACAAGTTCTGCTCAAGCAACTGTCATCACATCAGAACACATGCAGGGTTGTGTTTGCCACATGTGCAGTAGGGATGGGTGTAGATGCCCCAAGTATTCGCCATGTTGTACACATTGGAGTGCCACATACAATGGAAGCTTACTTTCAAGAGACAGGACGTGCAGGACGTGATGGTTGTCCAGCCACAGCCACTATGTACTTCAACGGTTCAGATATAGCAAAGAACAAGGCAGGCATGCAACAAATTATGCGGGAATTATGCCGAGGAGATAAATGCAGGAGAGCAACTATTCTTCAACATTTCGGGTACAAGCCAAGTGTCACACAGAGAAGCGCCCTCCATCGGTGCTGTGATATCTGCAAGTTGAAGTGTCCATGCCTTGAATGTGATATGGAATTATGTCTCAACCTCCTATATGATGATGGCGACTCACAGTAGGATTTGCATGAAATGTTGTAATTGCACAATCTTTCTGTACATGGAAAGTAAATCAACATCCGTCATGATCGACCCACACTAGCAAAAACTTGTCTTGTATCATCTCTTTATTGTCCAGCTTCAAAAACCGATCCCCAAAAATAAAACAAAGTACATGTAAAAAGATAAGCTCCCAATTATGCAATTGCAAGGAACACAACGATTATTACATGATGCCAGTCAATGTGTTTCTAGTCACACTGAAAAAAAAAAAATACATTTGGCGTTAATGGTGTAAAAAGTCAAATTGATTATTTTTATTTGCTCTTATAAATGTTTTGTCTTACAAGAACTCTGTGGTGGGATGATGGTCATGAAAGGTTTTTTCCTTTCTTTTTCAAATGTTCAAATGTTTTCGTAACATTAACATCTGTGTTTGTTGCAATGTCTGTAGGCTTTGCTACACAAAGGCATTGCCCGACCAAAACAACTTTTATTTGCAAAAAAAATCTATCTTGTGTATTTTAATTAATAAGAAAAAAATTGGACAGGTTACTGGCACACTTGTGTTTTTTGGTTTGCCTTTACAATAAACCTTCTTGGATACATTTGACATGTTTACGAATCCATGAGCTTAACTTGTCGTGATTGACATTATTGATCACACAGAAGGGGACCTTTGTGAAAGTGCTGTGTAATCTTCCTGCCCTGAAGCTAAATGGCTGTAGTTTACTCAAATCTTTAATGACCTGGTATTAATCCTTTGCAGCTGACCTATGAGTGTGTTTCACTGACAAATTGTGTACACTGGTATTACCAGCAAAATTCTCAGAAATTTTCTGCAGACCTGCTTGCGCTTTTGAGATTCGTTGGATAGCTTTCACAGTTTTATTTGGTCCCATGCACTGTATTTGTTTCTTGCCTTCTCTGTTGTAAATCTCTTGCATTAAATCACACTCCATATTGTTGCCAGGACCTCCTCTAATACTACAGAAACGTCCCCACAAAACTCTTTGGGCCATTTGGGGAGTTAAAAGTGCTTCCACCTGAGCAATAGCAACTAGCATTTCTAGAGCATATTTTTTCTTTTTCTGACCCATTGCATAGAAGTACAAAAGTAGCCTTTTCATGTTTATCAGGAGTCGACTTCCATCTCCTTCTTTAGTTGTGTCAATCATTTGTCGGAGAAACACATACATGTCAAGCAAACACATCCCATAAGATCTAACTCCATCTAAACGATTTACCGTTTGTGAAGGTGATGGTGTTTCATCATCAGGTTTTGACACTTTTACCGAAGACGGTTGCAGATTCGGAGTGGGAGGAGGTTTTGGAGGGTTAGTGATCTGGGACGTGTGTGCAGTGACTTGTATGTTTTCCTTCACATTCTCAACCACCACTTCAGCATTATCTTCAGGCTGTCTTACTGTGTAATTATGATCAAGGGCAACTCTGCTGCACTGAACCAATCTATCTTTGGCAACTATCATCTGCTCAGACTCATGACTGACTAGTACGTACTGATCCACAAATTCAGTAATAACCTTATCAAAATACAGCTCTGTGTGAGCTTGTCGTTCTCGCTGTAGTTTTGTAGGGATGTGCTGGGTAGGTTCAGATGAGATGTCTTTCATTCCCCAGAATTGACAAGCAGCATTCAGAAGGTATCCCTTGCCAACAGTCAGAAACAGCTGCTCACACGCTTCATAATTTTTGCCAGGAGTTGTCACATTGCGCCTTCCAATCCTCTCCCGAAAGTACTTCAGAGTACCTACATCGTGAGCTGACTTGTTGCTGAACAGCACATCGAAAGCCATCTGAAAATATTTGTGTAAAAAAAGAAAGCAAACAATCTGTTAGAAGTGGGAATGCAAGGGTATTTTAAAGGTTCAATAGAAAAGTGAGTTTTCCCATACTGTGGGCGTGGAAAGATACTTGGTTTTTTTTTAAAGAAAGTATTCAGGCTTATGGCATTTGGAACATAAACACACATCATTTTCAATGATTGCAAGTGGGATAAAAACTTCATCTTCAGTTCAAGCAAAAATAGTACATATTATATGCACACTGAACATGAGCTTTGCTGTGGTTATCGTAATCACATGTATGCATGATATAGAGTGATATGGGCAGTGATATTTTGGGATTATATCGCCACCATTGTTATAAACTAACCAATTAGGATTGAGGATTCAACTTGATTTGAAGATAAATGCAGAACATTGTTAAGAATTTAAGTGGGTTAAAAATGAGAGAAGGAACATCATCATCTACAAAATGTACGTTTTTTGTTTCTATCCAAAAATCAGAAAACTTCTAAAACAAGGTCAGGAAGGCTGCAAATTTTGTTGTCATGGGTGCTTTTTGGAAAGTACAGGAAAATGCATAATCCAAAACGTACATTCAAAAAAGCCTTTTTAGCATGCCAAATTTCACAGATGAAGGGGTACAGATGATCGAACCGCTGTCTTGCAGTGTGAACTCCAGCCCTGAGATCCTTTGCCCCGGCAAGCCGGACTCTTGTCAGCTGGTCACCACCAACAGGAATGTGGACGTGCTGTAGCGGATCAGCTGGATCCACTTGCATCATATGAGATCCTGGCTGGTCTGGTCTTGACTGAACATTCGGACATGAAGCTGGTGTATCAGACTTTGCTCCAGTTTCCTGTAACACATATTTAAAAAAAAAAAAAAAAAAAAAGGTAAATGCAATATTTGCTTTTGCTGTCATTTCCAGGAATGGATGGATTTGGGGTTAGTTTTTTTTTATAACAAATGTTGATACACTGACCCGTTTTACGGTTATGTGTTCATAATGTTGGGAAAACCAAGAAAAAAGTGCTGTTCGTGTAGTCTGGTTCCCTGACCCAACTTCAGATAAAACAAAGCCAAATGGATTTTTTTCGAGAAGGGGGCACATGTTTTTCCCCCCAAAAATGTCTTTATTTCACAACACATTCTTGTTTTATCATTTTTAGAGGGGGGTGGGGCAGGGACATTTTTATGCTGCCATATCACAGCTGGTACATGTGTACATGATTCTTCCAAACACACATGTACAGCAGAAGCAGGTTGATTCTTTGTGTTTCAAGGTTTAGTCTTTGTGTAGAATCACCATACAACACCCAAATTTAAATGTTTTGGTTTTTGTGTGTTAAGGAAGGGCAGCATGCATTATTTTATATTTGGCAATAACTTACGTTGTCAGTGCCTGAACAGATGCCAACACCCTCGTCTTGTAGATCTTTGGTATGGACATGATCATGGAAAGTAAGCTCGTCAGCTCCCAACATGCAGAAATCCGCATCCCCATCTCCCTGAGAAGAATAAGCATGCAATTTAGGTTACTTCAAAACTCAAAAGTAGAAACTTCTCATTGAATCAATTTCAATTGTAACCTTTCCAAAAAAGAGAAAATCACCCTATCCCTCACACTTTCCCCTCCTCAGGGACCCAAAACCGGTAACAACAATACTGTAGACACTGTTGTGCAAGTTCCAAATTTCCTTAAGGTTCTTAGTATTTGCTAATGGGGGAAAATTGCACTCTAATTAAGTTATGTTTGAACCAAAACAACTATACTTTATCATTTAGTCAGTGAATCAGCACATGTATGATATGTACGAGATAGATTGGATACGTCTGTACATTTGTCAAGTCTTATTTACAGCTATTATGATCAACTATCTATGTGTGTAAGTGTCATTATTTTTTCTTTAGTAAAATTTAAAAAAAAAAATGTTTTGGGTTGTGGTTGTAACAAATACATGGCCGGTGATTATTCCATTTGTATGAGACAGCAGGATTTTACTTTCAAAACATGCGTCTAACTTGTTCACACTTACTTCAGTTTGCTTTTCAACCAGTGGAGTTGCAGATTCTTTTCGAAATATATTATGGACCCATTCTTCGTATCTGCTAAGGATCTGGACCACTTCCCCATAGTTATTCTCGTTGCATGGGAGAATCTCTTGGGTAAACAGGGCACTCTTCTCCTTTGTAATGTCACTGTACTTGTGCTTGATGTGATGTGGTATGACCGACTTCATGAAAGCCAATGCAGGACAGCACTCGACAATGTCTCTTGCCACCAGAATCTTGTAGCTCTTCTTCAGTGTGTTGATTTCATCCTCGTTAGGCACGAAAGATGAGATGGGACACTGCTGGAGTGGTCGGGTTGGTTTGTCATCAGGCAGTTGTTCAAATGATATCCTGTCAAATACAATGGTGCTTGCAAAGTAATGTAAGTCAATGTTCTTTGCATCCTTCGTCATGTCATGTCGCAGAACCCGGAGGTCAAAGTTATCTCCAATAATCTGGAATTTGCTTCCCTTCTTGACCAGTTCCATTGCTTCCTCGTTGAAATGACCACCGATTTTGTTCAGCAGCACATCTTTTTGTGTGAAGGACTGGCATACTCCCACCCGCTGAAACTCCCTGTAGATCTGTTTGGAAAATAAATATTGAAACAAAAACCTGTATGATTGAATGACTTATTAAGATTTGGATAAAGTAAATATAAAGCCTTGATCTGGGGCTGATGATCCTCTTAATACAAAATTCTGGATTAAAAAAAAACATTTTGAATTTGAATTAACAAGACTTGACTGTAAGGTTTCAAATACATGTAGCTGTTTTCAGTGTGGATTTCTTTTGTACAGACTGTATAACCATGGAGGTAGAATTATGGTTTCAGAAATTCACCCACCATTTTACACAAGCACCACTTGAAGGGGACCGGGGGGGGGGGGTCCTCCACAGTGTCTCAGGCTTTGGGGGCAAAAAGCATATTTCATTTGTGGATTTTATTTGTGTTCATTATTGAAAACAAAGTGCCTGCTGCAGGAGTTATAATATTTTCCATCTTGAATATTTTCACTTGAGTGTCATGGAAAAGTTTGCATAACATTACATGAAGAATACTCTCACTCTGGGGTTTTGTTAGAATATACCATGGTCGCTGGTGTTAATATAAAATAACAGAAAGTGAAGAAAAAAATTGACTGAAATAGTCCTGGCATTGTGTGAAAGTGATCTCTTTTACCAATAATTACAACTTAGCAACTATTTCCCATATTCCCAAAGTTTCATTTACTGCACAGAACTATACAGCTTCATGCAGTTGTCACCAACAGAATTTCAAAATAAAACTAAGTGATTTTATCGGCAATTGATTTCAGAAAAACAAACAAACAAACTGACCTCCTTCTTGGCTGCTGATCTACTTAAAAGGATCGTGAACAGCTGCTGCAGTCTTCCAATGCGACAACTCCTCTGGTACAACAGCATTCCATATACCATGCAGATGACCGGTACTTTGGCATCCTCGAAGACATGTGAATCATCACTAGCTGTTGTCACAAGGACATCAAGTAGAAATGGACACCTGAAATGTACATTACTGCAATTATTTTTCACTTTTGTAAGTTTTATTTAAAGTATAATATATGCCTGTGACTGAGTTGGCAGTTTTCTGTACAGTTTTTACAACACAATAGAAATTTCGAATTAACTTGAACTGAGTCAGCATTTAAAAGGAAGAGCTTAAATGTTCACATGTTTGTTGGGTGGGTTGGGTTACAGAGTTGATCTGTTCTTTATCAATTCCTTCTAACAGGAACATATCATGCATTATTTGTTGAGGGGTGTACATAGGGATGACAAAGAGAACTGATGCCACCTACTGTTTATCCATCTCCTGGAGGATGTCTCTCCAATTGAAGTTGGAATGATCTGAGAAGTCGCATTTCCTGAGTATGGAACAACGCTGCAGACTGCAGCAGTTTGCTTTCACCTCTGCCAGACTCAAGTGCTTCACTGCACTCTGTATGGGTTTTATCCCCCACATGACGTTTGCAATGGAGTCTGGATCTCTACTTGACACTATTGATGACAAGCCGTTGAATTCTTCCACGCTCAGCAAGCGCTGATTTGAACTTGTGTACTGAAATTGAATGAAATGAAGAGAAAAAGGATGTCAAAATTAATTAAAAAGGCAACTGCGTAATACTGTTATTGACACGGGTATCAACAACTTCCATGTGACTGACTCACTAGTGCTCAACCATTATTGTGAGGCACTCAGCAGTTTATTAACCAGGGGAAATCAAAAGATCAAATTTTCATGACCCTTGATCCTGAGAAAAGTTGTTCTGCAAAAGCTGCAAATTTTTGGATGAACTCAATGCAAATTTTGCCTTTTGTTTTACATGATTAACTAGACATCTACAGAAATATGATTTAGGACGACACTTTGCAAATTGTTTGTTTCCAAATAAAAAATGTTTCCATATTCAGATTCAGAATTCTATTTCAAAGTGTAATTAGCCAGGATCTTCCAAACTGTAGTGACTATAGGCATTGTCCCCTGTCATGCCTGTAATTCAGTTCCCCCTCCCTCCCCCACCCCATTTAAAAAAAAGTTGGCGCCAAGGTCATTAACATGTCACACACTATGCACTTATCAATTGTTTCCTCCATCTTCCCCCCCCCCCCCCGGGCTGCCCCACCCAAGACGTGGGGGATTGTCACTTTTGAAGTGACAAAATGGGGGGAGGGGATGTGGGAGAGCCGGGGGAGGGGGGCAGGGGGAATTTGATAGGTGCAGATATAAACAATGTCAATGTATCATCAATATTAATAATCAATCGTTATCAAATTAAAATAAAAGCACAACACAAGGAATTATTAAGGTACAGTTTTGTAGGCCAAGCACATTTTTTTTTGAGAGTTAATATAAATGTAAATAAATCCAAGAAAAAAATCCCATACCCGTGCGAGACCAGTCTTCGTTGTGGTTTGCCCATAAGTTGCGCACTTATGAGGCAAAGACCTGGGACTTGCCGCTTCCGACGATGGACAGGCTTTCGGGGCAATTGGCCTTGGGGGACGGGCGCGGGCCTGGGCACCGGTGTTTGGCTCAAAAACCCGCCGTTTCGCAGTAGGAACACTCTGAGCAGGAGAAGTCAGGAACCGTTTGCTACGACTGGTACGACTTAGTGTCATTTTAGCGATGTTCACACGTGCCTCCTCCAAAAACGTAACCATTTTGTGCACCTTCGTTCCACAACTTCGGCAGAGTATGTCACCAACCAAGTCGCTCAAATCCGGAACGGGTACGTTGAGTTGTGACAGCAATTGCGGGAAATTCTTTTTTCGTCCAATGACTCCCCATAAGTGCGTTCCATTTTTGTCCCTTTTGGAGCACAGCATGCAAGTATCAGATTTGACTGGGGTACTTTTAGTTTTACAGGGACTGGGCGTCGCCATTGTAGAAACTCGGCAAGACTTTCTGGGCTAGAAAAGTTGTAGGCCTATCGTGTGTGACTTTCAGACTATTTCGCGCGCAATCTAACTTAACTTTTAACGAGCTTAAAAAGAAGTCACCAACTGTACGGTGTAATTCTTATAGATTTATGAATATGGAACATATGCTAATATTGTATTGTCGTTGTCCAATCAGAGCACAAGTACAGAGTTTCCTATCCAGGGTTTACTATTGGAAACGAGGTTGGAAATAAAGTAAGCACTGGGGACGAGGTTGGCACGGTACGAGTCTACGACCAAGACGCGACTGCATTGCACGCGCGTACGATGCATGCTTGAGGTCATGGGTCATGTATCCACTGACCGTGCGCGTGCGTCAACTTAGCCAAAATGCTTGGCGGCTGTTGCCTGTCATTCACTAATAATCAGTCTGAAGTGCGCCGGCATATTACGCGTGCGCTCTTGACCAACATTGAATGACAGGCAACAGTCGTAGGTGTACCGTAGCTCCGGTAAAAATTGTGCCCGCGCGCATATATTCATGCCTAGCTTAGCCTCGGCCTCGCGCCTGCTGCATGCAGTAAAGCTTCGTTCATCATGTTTGTGTATAAACATGTGCATGTACATGTACGTACGTACAGTACAGGCTAAGCCTACGAACATTTTGAAATTGGAGCATTACGGGAACCCGTCGATCAGCTCATCTGATAACGCTTTAGACCATGTGCAAGTGCTCAGACCTGATCATCGACTCATCCCTGGTTATAATGTGGTCCGGCCTAGTGCCCGGCCTAGCCTAGGCTGAACGGATGCGGCCGGACGAGGAGGCGAGGACGGGGTTGGATTAAACCTGCATGCTAGGCTCAATCCTACTCCCTCCAGTCTCATGTAATGCATGTCCCCAGGCCTTACCACATCCGACAAATAATTAATCTAAATCAACAAATATAAAACACATTGTGGCCTACCTTTGCACTGAGTTCGACATTGTCAGGTTGACAGGGGTGAGATTTTGTAGCACTGCCATGCATATCCCTCAGAATTAGAGCGGAGCTTTAGCTTGGCCTGATGCACGATGATCATCAATTTTACGAAAGAATGATCGTTGCGCGGCGTAGTACGCGTACCGTGTACATACAACGAATGCGCGCGTATGCAAGTTCCCGCCTAAATCAAAATTAAGTACGAATCATGTCATCAAATATATTTTTGCAAAGTACATTAATTGCACAATACCCAAAAGCTGAACAGACAAATCAGAGATGACGATTGTAACCACCACACCAATGTCTATGGTTTCAGCACTCTACTTGTTTTATTTGCAAAAAAAAAAAAATAAGATCTAAATCCAAGTCCACTTATTTTGCTGGCTATGTGGTATTTCAACAAAATACAGGAAAAAGAGGGCTTCAAAGATGGTGAGGTGACCGAGTGTAGAAAGGTAACGTTTCCCTTTGGTTGTCTTTATGCTTTGTGATCAGATGCACAAGAAAATTATGATTGATGGAGTTAGCCAATCACTTAAACTACAGTCCATCACTTGCAATTTTTGCTCAAAACGTACAGAAGGGTGCAAACAACTAACCTTATGAAAATTGATTTGAAATTGAGATCCTAGAATAGTGGTACAAGAATTTACTGAACTAAAAGTTTCTTAGTCATGTTTAGAATTACACCCAAATTCAGCGTCAGGCCACTTTCTCATTCAGCTACTAAATGTTGCCAATGAATCAACAAATGATTAAGGCTTGCATGAGCTTCGCCGAACTTAAAATAAATTCCTGATATAAGTTTTCAAACGATAATGTTATTAGTTAGGTTATTAGTTTAAAAGGTTAGACAGACAGCCGGCATATGATCTTTTAGTATACATGAAGGATACATTGTCAAGAGGGAAAAGGTATTTAGTAATACATCAACAGACTGAAACAAAGCTGGGGGTGGCAGACTTATCATTTTTTGCTATTGATTTTTTTTACATTCAGGAAGATTTCAATGACGAAGAATATGACACTGATGAAGGAGTTGGAGATAGGGGACATGAAAAAGATGATGTTGATGAAGAAGATAATGTTGTTGAAGAAGATGATGTTGATGTAGAAGATGATGTTGACGACAAAGATGAAGTTGGGGGACACGATTCTGACTGGGTCCCATCCGATAGTCTTTACCCTTTTTGTAAGTTGTACATGACCCATCGGCACAACCTATTCATAAGATGGAATTGGCATTGGAATGATCTACATTTGAAAATACATTTTCTTTTTTGCCCATCACTGACTAATATACTCATTGTATGAGAAGCCCATTTAGACAATACATGTATATTATGTACTTTTTTCAACAAGGATGAAGATCAAGACACAGTTCGTGAAGACCGGGACCTGGGAGAACGGGACCGAGAAGATGGGGACCAAGGAGAGCGGGACCGAGAAGACCGGGATGGAGAAGACCAGGACCGAGAATTCCGGGACCGAAAATACCGGAACCGAGAATATCTGGACCGAAAATACAAGAACAGAGAATTTCTGGAACGAGAATACCGGGACCGAAAAGACCGGCACCGAGAAGACAGTCAAAAAGGATACCGGGACAGAGGAGACCGCGACCGAAAACAACCGGGACCGAGAAGACCGGCAACAAGGATACCGCGACTGAGAAGTCCGGGACCGAGAAGACAAGCACCGAGAAGACCGGCAACAAGGATACCGCAACCGAGAAGACCGGCAACAAGGATACCGCGAACGAGAAGACCGCGACCGAAAATACCGGGACCGAGAAGACCGGCAACAAGGATACCGCGACCGAAAAGACAAGCACAAAGAAAACCTGCACCAAGAAGACTGCATGACTAGGAAACCAGGAGATAGCATGATGAGGAGAAAGAAAAATCCTTGAGTACACTGTATATATCTTTTTCTAGATTGAGAAATGAAGGCTCGCCTCCAGTTCATCCTCAACTGTCAACACAAATCTTTTGAGGCTATCTGAATATATCCAGTTTCTGTGCTTGCTTTTTTATATTACTACAAACAAGAACTTTCTTATAAGCATGCACAATAACATGTTTGTAACATCAGGCTTTCAGTTCCGCTCGCAAAATAACACATGTTCTGTTTTTGTTTCACACGGGGGCTATCATCAGCACTTTCTAATTTTGGGGTTCATTTTCAACTAACATCAACAGTGACATAAAATTATATATTTGACAGAAAAAAATATTGTTATATGTAGGAGAGAACATCTAAAATACTAGAGCTTGCAGTGCTCTCAACCCCGCCCGCAAGGGATTTCGCGCTTCAGTCTCGTTATGTGTGCAACGCGCACAAAGTTTTTGTGTCCCCCCCCCCCTTTTTGAAAATCCTGGTTCCGCCCCTGATCATATCATAACCATTTACGACATGAATGTTTTTTTCCCATTTATTTGCAGGCCTGAAAACAGTACATGGCTACTTGTGCTCACGGGGTATGAGGATCCAGCGTCGAATACTGCGTGAAAGTTTATTTTGATGTGATCCAGCAAGGCAGGAGTTACGACAGATTTACGCTATAAGACGAAGGCACTACTGTGTGTCATCACCCTTGGCCTTATGGCACATTGATTGCAAACATAAATTAATACGGTGAGAAACTGCATCTGTACATATTGTTCTCTTTTTCTCTCTATCAACGTTAAGATAACTTACTCTTACAGATGGGATTTCTCATTTGCATAAGGCTATGCGGCTGATGAAAAGGGTATTTTTTTATAGTACGGTTCACAATGTATTTTCGTGTTTTTTTTTTTGGGGGGGATTAGCAAAACTATACATATTTGGAAACATTAGGATCTACTGACTCCCCAAAACAATGTTTTCATTTTTTCAAACGTCAAGATGTCCGCCATCTTGAGGGGACGGGGTAAAAGGGGGCGGATCCACCCCCCTCCAAGATCTTTGCCGTACAATGATAGATTTGCGTAAAATTATGTGTACCTGTGAAGGTGACAATGTTAAGTACATCTGTAAAGTCTTACGTCAATAGAACAAAGACTGTTGTAATTATCGCTATTTATAATTCACGCTACACAACATCATTTAGTCCATGCACTGTCACTGAAAAAAGTTACCATTTTACGCTACTGTACCCTGTTTTGAAATTGACATTTCCTAATACATGTACATGTACATGTAGTTCTGAATACAGTGTCCATGTGCACATCACATCGGTCTAAAATTTCATGAAGCTTTTTCCTTCATAATAATTTCCTTCATAATGTTGTCCATGGTGGAATAGATGGCTACAGCAGAGCCATTGTTTTCCTTCATGCCAGTGGCAGCAACTGGGCAGACACTGTCTTACAGTGAATCCCGGGACATACCGTTATTTCGTTTTACCGTTTTGGGTTCACTAAAAAACAAAAACATTAAACGCACCATTGACCGTTTAACAGTTTTGTAAAACGGTCAAACGGTATTAGGTCACAAAAAACAATGATCTTTTTGTTGTTTTTCTTAATTGTGAAAAGCGATAAACGGTTAGTTGCTTCATTTTCAGAGTTTTGTCTTACGAGAACATGTGAATGAAAAAACAGTCAAAAGTCCTGTCAACCATTTGACCATCTTTTAGGTTTGGCAATTAAGCAATAAAGAACCTTGGAATTTTAATGTGTCCTTGGGATGGCGTCACAGCCTGGGAAATCCAAAAAGGGGGGTAACCATGTCACAAGGAGTCCGGCTTGCTGGAATACTACCGTCATTTGATCGCTGACATTCATAATGTTCAGCAGCGTATTTTACACTGATTCCGTGCGGATCAACGTGCACCATGCAGATGTCACGGTGCGCAATCTTGCGCGGATATTTAAGGTTGGTATTAATATAAAGACGATTTTAGTTTGATCTTTAATATCACAAGATAACGTGGACTGTATGTTAATGATATCACTGTATATGGGGGTAGAATGAGGATCCATGTTGTCGCGTACGTAGACTTCAGTTCCCAGCTTTTGCACAATTCTTATTTAGCATTGACCTTTTTCAGTCCTGTATTAATTCACATGGTATAGGCCTTACATAAGGTATTAATAATTAAACCATTGCTATGACGTCACACTATTGTTAAAAGTGTGGATTCGGAACTACGAATCTGCTACGCTGGTCACAAAGTGTGGATTCGGAACGAAGAATCTTTAGTAAAGTGTGGATTCGGAATTACGAATCCACACTTTGAACACGTCAGACAATTGTTCTGTTAAGGAGAATACACGAGAAAGTGTGGATTCGTAATTTAAGAATTCACGAGGCGCGAAGCGCCGAGTGAATTCGTAAATTAAGAATCCACACTTGCGAGTGTATTCTTCGACTTAAACCATTGCGTCAACAGAAGTATAAGAAAGAATGCTGCAACCTGACGCCACTTTTTTCTTCATATATCATCTCAATGAAGGCCATTTGTTGCAAAATTGATAATAAGACAAGAATCTGGGACTGATAAATGTTTCCAAAATTGTTAGGAAATACTTGAAATTACTCTCCATAAACGTTGTACACAAGTGCGGAAGTGGCGTCAGGTTGCAACATTGTTTCCTGGCGTGTTTAGCATTTGTATCGCCACATACGTCAAAATGGATAGTTGAGACGATGATTTCTTTCTGACTAAAGTAGATTTTGCAATGACGGCAGAAAATCTGACAGTGAAGATGCATTGGTAATCTTTGGAAAGCAAATTTTCAGGCAGACGGTCCTGTTCATGCTCATTATGGAGAACAATTGTCCGACGTTTTCAAAGTGTGGATTCGTAATTCCGAATCCACACTTTACTAAAGATTCTTCGTTCCGAATCCACACTTTGTGACCAGTGTAAGAGATTCGTAGATCCGAATCCACACTTTTAACAATAGTGTGACGTCATAGCAATGGTTTAACTATAATGAGCATTAATAGGACATTCTGCGTGAAAATTGCCTTCCGAAATTATCAATGCATCTTCCCTGTCAGATTCTTCGCCGTCACTGCAAAACCTACTTTGAGTCAGAAAGAAATCATCGTCTGAACTATCAATTTGTCAACGGAAGGAGTCGGGACAAATCGTCACCGACACCACGAAGTAACACTCTACCATGTTAAAGCATATTTTTTTCGATTTTCAGTTTTTTGGATTTTTAAACATTATTCATCAAGGCCTACCATTGCACGAAGTTTCAAAGCTTCAAGAGCGTAACTTTAATAATTACGCTAAGTATCCATGGCAACTTTTGCGCAAAAGTGACAATTTTCGTTTTCACGAAGTAACACTCAAGTTCTATTTTCCATTGCAATGCATGGCGCGCACTCTGCTCATAAGTGAGCAAAAACGTTTTCACGAAGTAACACTCTTCTTGTAACAAGTTGTATGAGCGCGCGCGCGCTGACCTGAATTTGCACTTTCCTCGTGTTAAATACATTGAAGAGTGTTACTTCGTGAAAACGAAAATTTACAGTTTCGCAGCTTTTTCGGTTTCACGAACTAACACTCATCTTTTTTCTCTTATTTCTTGTTTATTTAATACACAAACGAGTGAAAAACAGCAGATTTAATAAATTCAATTCATCAAGTGTCCACAACGAGAAACCCAACTGAAAATACTCTGTCGTTTTGACGCAAAGTGTTGTTTTAGAAGGCGTTCAACTTTAGTTGCCGTTTTCTCCGATTGTTAGTTTTTACTGGTATGTAGATGGGTGTTACTTCGTGGTGTCGGTGACGAAATGTTGCAACCTGACGCCACTTTTTTTCTCCATATATCATCTCAATGAAGGGGATAATAAGACATGAATCTGGGACTGAGAAATATCTCCAATTTTGTTAGGAAATACTTTTAAAAAAAATTCTTGACTCTCCATAGACTTTGTACACAATCGCGGAAGTGGCGGCAGGTTGCAACATTTATCCCTAGTATTTTCATCTCCACTCACTGTTTATGCCAATACTTCTTTTGACGCAATGGTTTAAGTCGAAGAATACACTCGCAAGTGTGGATTCTTAATTTACGAATTCACTCGGCGCTTCGCGCCTCGTGAATTCTTAAATTACGAATCCACACTTTCTCGTGTATTCTCCTTAACAGAACTAATTCTCAATAATGTCTTTAGGCTTACACAATTCTTATTTAGCATTGACCTTTTTTCAGTCCTGTATTAATTCACATGGTATAGGCCTTACATAAGGTTTTAATAAAGAA